AATCATAATTGATAGTTTTTATGATTTCATTATTATTTTATCCCCCACGGTTGGTTATTTCGTTGAACAGGAGATTAAACGATAAATTACTACTTAACCGGGAGTTTTCATGAGGATAATTAAATTGAGGGGAAAACCACTTAGCCTTGGGCCTCCTCGACCTTTTTGGGGTTCTAAACCTCCCTCGCTACGCTCGTGAGGTTTAGAACCCCAAAAAGGTCTTGGAGGCCCTCGGCTAAGTGGTTTTCCCCTCAATTTAATTATCCTCCCTTAATCTCCCGGTTAAGTAGTAATTAATAGTTATAAAAAAACTGTGTTTAAAGGTTTTCAATTTTGTAAAAAAATTTAAATTCTTGAAAATCCGCAAATTTTTTTTTTAAATCTGCAAAATTTTCGTCTTCTTTGCTTTTAAATGTAAACAAAAAGAACATGTTCACAATTTAAATAGAATATGGGCGCGAAGCGCCCTAAAAGCCTAGTGTCATAAATTGTCAATAACCTTTTAAAATTCGGTGATGGTGATAGACCAAACCTCTGTAGACGAAAAAAAATAGATGTTAGTTCCACATTTTATTAAAATATATCTCGGTCTATGTTGACCCTCGTCAGTTCTTAAGGATGTATTTTAGGAGTTTGCATTTCAGGAGTTTGTTCTTCGGGAGATTGTATTTCAGGTGGATGTGTTTTAGGAGGTTGTATTTCAGGAGTTAGTAGGAGTTTGTTTTTTAGGAATATGCATTTCAGGAGTTTGTATTGCAGGACCTTGAGTTTCAGGAGTTCGTATATTAGAAGTCTGTATTTCAGGAGTTTGTATTTCAGGAGTTTGTATTTCAGGAGTTTGTATTTCAGGAGATTGTATTTCAGGAGTTTGTATTTCAGGAGTTTGTATTTCAGGAGATTCTATTTCAGGAGTTTGTATTTCAGGAGTTTGTAATTAAGGAGTTTGTATTTCAGGAGTTTGTATTTCAGGAGTTTGTATTTCAGGAGTTTGTATTTCAGGAGTTTGTATTTCAGGAGTTTATATTTCAGGAGTTTGTATTTCATGAGTTTGTATTTCAGGAGTTTGTATTTCAGGAGTTTGTATTTCGGGAGTTTTTATTTTTTGAGTATGTATTTCATAAGTTTGTATTTCAGGAGTTTGTACTTAAGGAGTTTGTATTTCAGGAGTTTGCATTTCAGGAGTTTGTAATTAAGGAGTTTGTATTTCAGGAGTTTTTCATGAGTTTGCATTTTAGGAGTTTGCATTTCAGATGTTTGTATTTTAGGAGTTTGTATTTCATGAGTTTGTATTTCAGGATTTGTCCGTCGATTTTTCTTCGTCTATATCAACGGCATCTAGTGGGGGAAATTGGAAACGTAGTTTGATATATCTTTGAACATATATAGAGAGCAGCACTGTGCTTGCAACAATAATGTCTATTCAATTTTAAACCTCTGTTTAAACTGTAGTTTGAAATTCTATAGAAAATATCGAATTTTTTTTTATTTTGATCTGTATTTCGATATCCAGGATGAATTAGAGAAGCTAATCTAAGAATTTGGAAATTCTCGAAAATAATTTTTTTTTTAATTTTACATGGGGAGGGGGCTATGTGGACTGAGCAGTAGCACCACTTCCTTCCTGGAAAAAATGAAAACTTAGGGAGTGATCCACGCCCCTTGAATGTTTGAAAAGAAAAAGTCCCCAGGACAAATACTGCATTTAAAAAAACTATATATAGGCAAGACTATCATCTGTCCTTTAAACCTTGATCTTGTCTTGTTCAATGTTTACTTAAAAATTGTTTAATTCTGACAATTTCTGTCAAAGCTTCTGTAAAATAAATCCGCAAGTAATTTTTTTAAGAAAACTAAAAATTAATTTTTTTATTTTTTTTATTTGAAAACTACAAGAGTTCAGGATTGGTCAGAGGAGTCAGAGCACACTTCAAACTTAAAACAGAATACTTTTAAATTATTATTATTTCATCTTTTTAAAATGTTAACCGTTTTACAAGATTTGAAAATTTCTCATTATCACTCCAGTTTAAACAATTGACAAAGTTTGTTTAGTTGAGTGGTATTTTTATACTGAATGTGTAACCCATCTTTTAAAATCCTCACCCCTGAACCCCCCTCCATTAAACTGGGGCCCCTGAACCCTTAGATAGATAGATAGATAGATAGATAGATAGATAGATAGATAGATAGATAGATAGATATATAGATATATAGATAGATAGATAGATAGATAGATAGTTAGAATATCAGAAAAGAAGAAAGAAAAACAAAATATCAGAAAAGTAGAAATAAAAACAGAATATCAGAAAATAAGAAAGAAAGTTAGAATATCAGAAAAGAAGAAAAAAAGTTAGAATATCAGAAAAATAGAAAGAAGGTTAGAATATTAGAAAAGAAGAAAGAAAGTTAGAATATGAGAAAAGTAAAAATAAAGTTAGAATATCAGAAAAGAAGAAAAAAAGTTAAAATATCAGAAAGGTAGAAAGAAGGTTAAAATATTAGAAAAGAAGAAAGAATGTTAGAATATCAGAAAAGTAGAAAAAAGTTAGAATATCAGAAAAGAAGAAAGAAAGTTAGAATATCAGAAAAGTAGAAAGAAAGTTAGAATATTTTTGAGAAATCAAGTCATGACTTTTCTCTAAACATTTTTTCTTAATAAACTGACTTATTTTTAAAGGGATTTTTTTACAGACTTTTAAAAAATCATTCTTTTCGTCAGATGGATTATTAGACATTAGGAATTACAGAGTATGCCCCAAGTTACTAAATTAAATTGAGAAAATACTAATGAATAATTTGTAAACAACAACAATCTATATTTAAACAAGAACAATAATAGCAGCAGCAGTGCAGTCCAGTACATGATTAGAACAGCACATATTAATACGGTACAAGGTTTAAATATGTAATATATTTTAACAAATCTAGAATAGTACAAATAATTAGATGCAAAATGTTGCTATATTTTTTATTCTTTTTTTCACCCCCCCCCCTTTCTTACAAAACCTCAGCTTATTATTAATTGATAGCAAATTCGAGAATCTGGACCAATTTGGCTTGCTAAACATCTCGTGCAACTTTGTGTATGTTTTTTATGTCAAATTGGTCCGAAGTGTACTCAAGTGCACTAGGGCATGGGTTTATTTTGTACTTTTTGCTTACATTAGTATCCCAGTATAATGTACATGCATTGCAGGTAACTAAAAAGTATTTTTTTTTTCTAATTTATTTGAAAAATTTAAAACTTTTTCTCATTTAGTTTTTCTAATTTGGACATTTGCTGCTGTTGCATACGGCTGTACAGTTTACACTATATGCTGCTGGGAGAAATAAAAAAATAATAAATAAAAATAAGAAAATAAATAAAATGAATTTTTAATTCAGCTATATCATTATACGAATCCGGACTAAATAACAGTTTTTACTATCAGGTCTTAAAATGTCTCTTGTCTATCCTTTCTAAATTTTGTCAATGCTGTCTTTTTAAACAGATATTTGCCTAAAGCTTTTTTGTCGGACAATATACCTGTCTCTCATTTTTGTCTATTATGCATCTTGTGCTTTAATAAAAACTGCCTAATATTGTCTTGTCTGTTATACATATTGTCCATTAATAAATTTTGTCTAATATTGTCTTGTCTAATATTTTCTTGTCTATTATACATCTTGTCCATTAATAAATTCGTCTAATATTGTCTTGTCTATTGTACATCTTGTCCATTAATAAATTCGTCTAATATTGTCTTGTCTATTATACATCTTGTCCATTAATAAATTCGTCTAATAATGTCTTGTCTATTATACATATTGTCCATTAATAGATTCTGTCTAATATTGTCTTGTCTATAATACATCTTGTCCATTAATAGATTCTTTCTAATATTGCCTTGTCTATTATATATCTTGTCCATTCAGAAATGCTGTCTAATATTGTCTTGTCTATTATACATCTTGTCCATTAATAGATTCTGTCTAATATTGTCTTGTCTATTATATAACTTTTCGATTAAGAAATAATGTATAATATTGTCTTGTCTATTATACATATTGTCCTAAAAAGATATCTTTTCTAATATTTGTAATGTCTATTTTACATCTTGTCCATTTAGAAATACTGTCTAATATTGTCTTGTCGTGTCATACATCTTGTCCATTAAGAAATACTGTATATTATTAATAAAAGTTTTTATACTGTCAATAATCATTATTCAATGTCTTTCAGTCTACTTGTTATTTGTCATTTAGTTTGTCTGTCTGTATGTTTATCTGTCTGTATGTTGTCTGTCTTCAGCTTAATTAAACAATAGCAACCCTACCTACCCCTTGCTTCCCGCCCTATCGGATTTCAAAGGGTTTCAATTTTAATTTATCTCATAAAATCCCCCAAATATCAGGGAAATCATAAAACAAGAAAGTAAAACCTGGTATTAAACCGAGAAACGTATTTAAAAACTAAAAATCACATAAAAATGTATAAAACAGGGCTGGGAACAATTGTTCGGCACCTTTTTAAAAAAGGTTTAAAAATATGGTTGAGCGCAATTAAATTTATTTTACATTGAAATTCTAATTGTAAGACGGGAATATTTACAGGAAAACAACCTTATAGCTGTGCAAGAAGTGAAATCTTAATATATCTTTATTTTTCGGAGGCGCGAAATTTTTTTTGAGCGCACGTAATTTCAAACTAATTTTAAATATAAAATATATCACCAGCTGTTTAGGTTGGGACTAGAAGCGATCAGTTGCGCCACAGATAATGGATGATTTTTGTTGGTTGGATCCGAACCAATTTTCATAATATTATCCGGATTCGGAATGTCGGATGGTAGATCACCGGTTCGTGGTTCTATTTTATCACATAAAAAATCTGATTCCGAAACCAAATGGTTGCAGGATTTTGACTTGAGTCTGTTTCCCTCATTTTCAACATGGCCGCCACCATTAGCCGTTTTAGCGGATTTTTTCAAATTTTGGCGGGAAATCTGTGGAAGATGGCGGCCACCAGTCTCGAGGGAGGTTGTGTGTTGGCGGGGGGCTGATGGAGGCTGGAGTGTGTGTACATTGTGATGGTTGGATGGATTCTGGTTTAAAATATCCTACAGAGTATTTTCCCTTTCGACACTTCAAAGAAAAGTTAGTCAACTCAAAGAAAACATGGAGGCACTGCAGCTACCTTACCCCTCCCCCCGTACACTATCAAATCAAGGAAAAATCCCCCTTCCCCCTCCATACACATAAATTGGCAATCACAAAAGAAATTAGGGACCCTATTTTGAAGATTATAAAATCCCTACATCGGCATCAATATTGTCTTTTTTCCTGCCTAAATGAGTTTCCAATGAATTTCCGTGAAGAAGGAGATGGAAGCAGCAGTCAAGCATTTTTAAATTGTAATTCTAGAAACTTCTCTTTGTATTTGCAGTATATCTGCACTGTATCTATCTATCTAGCTATCTATATAATATATTCACTCTATCTATCTATCTATCTATCTATCTATCTATCTATCTATCCATTTAGTGATTGACCAATGAATTCATAAGGAAAGAATATTATTGTGCGTGTTTTAAAGAGACACCCTGTAATTGTATGGATCCGGAATAAGAACATTCTTCTTAGAATCTATCTGTCAGTCCCTGCATTAAACTATCACTATTTGACAGATAGATAGATAGATAGATATTATAGATAGATATTAATCAAAAAGCTAGAACTTGAAATAAGTGTCGAGAGGAATGACCTGAAAGAGTGTTGAAGACTGTACTGATGATCCTGAAGAAGAAGTGCTTGTGCAGATGGACGAAGAGATCTTTTTGTGGAATGAAAGAAGATTCTGATCAAGGAAAGTGAAGCTTGTTGGAAACCTGATGCTTGGGTGACATGTAATTGACTTTTTAGCAGTGGCATCTTCCCCATTTAAATATATATGGGGATTTAGCAAAGAAGTCTCATTGGTTTCACCTGAATCAATGGAACTCCTAGTAGTTGCAGATCTGAATCTATTAAATGCTGATGCTTTTGAAATCAATTCAGGAATCAAAGGATTCAATTCTTCAGCATGGTTAACTCTAAAGACTGATTCTTGATCAAATAGATTTAGGGTTGAATTAGGTTGGCCATTGATTGACATGGTAGAGGATCTGTTTACGGTTGGAGCAGCCATGGTACTTGGTGCAAGCTTTCTGAGTTGCTCTGCAGATAGACCTAAGCCCGGAATCTGTTCCAAAGTCGATTGAGTGGTGGTGGTAGGAGATTCACTTATGCTTGGAGAAACATTCGGACTTGACACAAGCTTCCTTATATGTTCCAAAGAGCATAAATGCAGTTGACCAGAAGTGGAAGAGGATCCATGTATGCTTGGAGCAGCAGTAATACTAGGTGCAAGATTTCTTAGCTGCTCTGAGCATAGACCTAAGCCCGGAATCTGTTCCGAAGCGTACAAAGTCGATTGACCAGTAATTGTAGAAGATCCATACATGCTTGGAGGAACATTTACAGTGCTTGGTGTAATCTGCCTTAGCTGTTCTGAAGATAGACCTAAGCCTGAGATCTGTTCTGAAGCGTACAAAGGCGGTTGACCAGTGGTGGTAGAAGATCCAGATATGCTTGGAGGAACATTAGGGCTCCGCACAAGCTTCCTTGCTTGCTCTGAAGACGGACCTATTCCCGGAATCTGCTCTGAAGAGCATAGAGGCGGTTGTCTGAAGTTAAGAAAAGAATTTATAAACGGATTATGGAAAATTCCAAGGAATGGAAAGGGGAGTTGTGGTATATGAGGATACAAGCTGGGTATAATGGATGTTCCAGTAGGCTGGATTGATGAACATAATGAACGAGAAGCAGGCAGTGATGATGTTGTTGTTGACCGTTGACAAGGAGGTGATCCAGAACTGAGAAAAAAATCCAAAACTTATATTTAAAATTTTTTTAATGTACTGCAGAGATGCAAGCTTGTCCCAAAAAATATGATTTGATCTTTGATAGCTCTCTAAGGACAAAGTGTGCATAGAAAATAGTCGAGGACATGCATGGAAAGCTTATAAGTTGTTTAACTGTATGATACAAATTTTGTCACAGACTTTAAGTTGTTTCTCAACTGTCATGTTAAATGGCACACCCTGTATCTTGTTGTTGGTGTTAAAAGAAACAAATACCTCATTTAAGACATTTTTTTTACATTTTTTTGCGATAATGAATTTTGAACTTTCCTTGTGGAAGAATCACATCCTTCTGTTTCACTTGAATCCTCCCAACCCTCCAGACCTCCTCCAGCAAACACACATTTTTTCTTTCTCCTGACAAATTAAAGAATTTTATAAATTTCAAGTGACCCTCCATACAAGGGTGGCAATGATCGATTATCAATGTTACCCTTAAAGTATGAATTAGATATTCATGTTTTTGTTTATTCAAAATTGTTCATTTGTGGTTTCTCTACAAAATGACTTGCGCATTTCTTGCTTACAAGAAACAATGGAGTGCAAACACAACGTTAACTTCCACATTTTGGGTAAAGGTTCAAGGGTAACAATGTAAATCGAGCATTGTTATCTTTGCTTGAAGGGTCACTTTAAACTACGCAAACAGTCCCTTTAAAGAGGCGATCACGTTTTAATACATTTTTTTCATGTTAACGATTTTTGGTTTAAACTTTTTTCAAAAGTAATATTTGAAAAGTTAGATACTTAAATAAACAATTTTGCAATTTGTAAATAAACATAGAAGGTATGTTAGGTAAGATGGGGGTATAATGATAATAATCTTTTAATAATATATTCCACTTTTACTGAAATTAATTTCATGATACGAATTAAAGCAGAGATTAGATCAGAAGCAGCCAAGGTGCATTTTAATATTTTAGTTTCCCATTCACCGTTCATATTAATATTAATATTATTATTAATATTAATAGCATGCATTAAAATTAATTCGATTTAAAACTAGTTCTTACTTATTTTTAAATTTAAAGATTCAAAATAACTGAACTGGTCTAAAGCACGAGATAATGGTAACATTATATTGTCATTTAATTCTGTGGTATAACACAATATAAGAGTTCACATACTGTACTGTATTGTACTATGGTATATTGTACTGCAGTGTATTGTACTGTACTGTATTGTACTGCACTGTACTGTACTGTACTGTACTGTACTGTACTGTACTGTACTGCTGTACTGTACTGTTCTGTACTGTACTGTACTGTACTGTACTGTACTGTACTGTACTGTACGACAAATGTAGAGAACGTTTTGTGTGTCAGACCATTTTTAAAGAATTAACAATTTGCGTAATGTTTGTTTCCCGAAAACAAAAACAAAAAGACATTCTACTCACGTCTATTGATGTTAGAGGCAAATGTACTTTGGAGATTGTCCTGTAGGATCACTACTCAAACCACTGCAATCCAAATTAGTTCGAAAAACTGTCGCTAGATGGATCTTAACTAAACATTTGTTGAATCGTGTTTGGCTGGGAAAAATCCCTTTGGTCAAATGATAAAGTTATTCTATTTGATTTTTCTATGTATTTGGAAGGAAGTAAAGCTTGATCAGAACCAAAAATTATCAAATTTCAGAGGTTAACTTTTTGAATATATTTCAACCTTTTCAAAATTTGTGAACATCCTCTTTACTGTTTAAGATTATCGGAATATCAAACTATTTTATTTTGTTTTCTGAGAAATGAAATTAAAAATATTGAATATTTTCTATTTTCAACTTTGCTTCTCCAAGTCTATTATTAAAACAAGGACTGTAGAAATGAATTGCATTTTTTAAGATTTTAATATTTTGTGAAAAAGAAACTGGAGATTGGCGACATGGGATTCTACTAGATATGACAACTCAGAAACTTGTAATTACAGGGACTAAACTTGTATGACAACTCAGAAACTTGTAATTACAGGGACTAAAGGGGCTGTAATTGTAATTTCAAGTGACCCTCCATACAAGGGTGGCAATGANAAACTTGTATATTACAGGGACTAAACTTGTATGTTACAGGGACTAAACTTGTATGTTACAGGGACTATACTGTATATTACAGGGACTAAACTGTATATTAAAGGGACTAAACTTGTATATTACATGGACTAAACTTGTATGTTACAGGGACTAAACTATATATTACAGGGACTAAACTGTATATTACAGGGACTAAACTGTATATTACAGGGACTAAACTGTATATTACAGGGACTAAACTTGTATTTTACAGGGACTAAACTTGTATATTACAGGGACTAAACTTGTATATTACAGGGACTATACTGTATATTACAGGGACTAAACTTGTATTTTACAGGGACTAAACTTGTACATTTTAGGGACTAAAGGGGCTGTAATTGTAATTTCAAGTGACCCTCCATTTATAGAGTGACATGTTAGATTCACAACAGTTCCCGTAAAAACTTTCTTATGTTTTCTCTGATAAGAATTAAACACTTTAAAGAAAAACATCATTATCTTCCACATTATTGATCAGATTAAGGTTTAAAGGGTTCCGTTGTGAATTGTGCATGCCGCTTGTTGAATGGAGGGTTACTGAAAATAACGACGAACAGTCCCTTTCCCGTCATGACATTTGGAGGAAAATGTACGCTAGATTCTGACGTGTGTTTTTTGCTTAGTCAACTACACTGATCTTTTTATTATTTAGTACGTGGAAAAGGGATATGAAAATAAACTAACATTTTGGGGGGGGAGGGGTGGATTTATTCATGGTCTAAATTTGGGTTATAAAAAGAATTGTAACTTTTTCTTCACCTTAATTGTACATGATAAAATGTTAAATGAAGACAACTTCTCATAATTATTCAGTGCTCCCCAGAATAAAATGGTAAGTATTGACTACTTTTCAAAATATACACTACAGTGCTTCCCAAAATAAAATAATAATCATTGAAAACTTCTCAAAAATATACAGTGCTCCCCAAAATAAAATAATGAGCGTTGAAAACTTCTCATAAATATACAGTGCTCCTCAAAATAATTTGGTAAGCATAGACGACTTCTCTTAAATATTCAGTGCTCCCCAAAGTAATTAGAAAAACGAAATTCTCTCATATGAGTTGACATATTTTCCAAGATTAAATAAAAATTGTAAAAACAGAAAATAATTTTGTCGAACACAAGAACTGAGTTGACACTTTCGACGCAAGAATACAGTTGTACTGACAGTGAACAAACTCTACGTTACTATCTATTGTACTAGAATCTATTAAATTTCAACAAAATAACTTGAATAATTATAATCAAATGCCTAAAATCTCTAAACCTCGAACGACAGTTTAAATATTTCCCTATTCTTGATGTGATTAATTGTGAATTCATGCGTTTAGATTTTTAATAAGCTTGAAAATGTACTACCCATCACCTATGTATACTATTATTCTATTGTGGTTATGGTGCAGATTATCTTTGCATTAGATACTTAATTAGCTAAAATTAAAGTATTTTTTGCCACTATATGGCAAAAGTTCCCAGTTATTAATAAATTTGATCAAATACCACTAAGATTTAAAAGTGCTTGAAAAATTTGGTAATGTTGATAATTTTGTAAAATTTTGATCAAACTTTCAAATTTCCCAAAATCATTATCCACCATTCTTGCCTTTTTCACAATTTTGGTTTTGGTTATTTGATTTTGAAATGGCTTTGATATCTTTTTTCAAGAAGACTAACTCAGGAGATTGATAACAATCTCACGACAGCCATTTTTAAAGGCTGTAGACATAATTCTAAGTGAATTCCTCCATTATAGACGGATTTGTTCAATTCAGAGAACCGTTTGAAATCTTTGCTTTAGGATCTAAAAATTGATTATTTTAAATTGAGGTTTCTCTGTTAAAGTGACTTGCGAATTAATACAGTAGAAACAGTTAGAAACTTGTCAGAATTTAACACATTTAAAAATATAAAATAACAATATTGATTCAAAAATTTTTTAATGATACCGTTTTAAATCCGGCATATACTACTTTATAAATGGAGTGTCACTTATAATCATGTCTACTATACTGTCGCCACTTTAAAAGATTTATTTGTAAGACATTTCCAAATCAAAATGATAAAAAACGATCCAACTAGAACCTTCTATCCTAGATTGCAGTTTCCCTGAGATCAGCTGATTCATGGCCGCCTGAGCAGCTGGAGCCAAGACCCGTACCGATCAAGCTGCAGCTCATCTGACTGTAGTTCCGTAAGTCCAGCAGCGGCTCAGAGATAGAGACTAGATTGTGAGGAGGGGACTGAGTGATGTCCCCCATGTTCCCATGACCTGACATGCTAAACATCGGCATGTTGTCGTCGACACCGTCAATGGCCTCCTCAGGCCTGTGCAGAATAGTGCATGAGAGCAGAGAGTTTCAGAGAGTTTATAGCATGATAATAATTTCCAAAGAGAGTCGGGTTATTAGTTGAGGTATAAAATTGATATTTACTGATTGAAATAAAGCTGCTCATCATATTAGCATAGGTGCGTGGTAATATTACATCATCCGTAACACGGGCAGCCGTAATACATTTGCATTTCCGAGCCGGGTCAACCTTTCCGGTCCCAGTTTGTACTGTATCGTCCGGGCATTGGGTAAATAAAAAACACTCAATAGAACTAGCTGGTGCAACAAGGTTGACGCGGTCAGACTTTAGGTTGAATTTACTTTACTAGAAGGTCAGGGGTGCGCGGTAATGCCATAGTATTGTTTTTAAAAAGGTGTACTGCAATGTGTAAAACCAAGTATTGTTATGTTTTGTTTATAATCTTCCTAGAAACTGCAGTACACCTTATAAAACACACAAATATAAAAGTTCCTGGTTGTGCACTATTTAGTACAACAGAACATATATTTGCACATCACACTCATTACACTGCAAAGTGCTGGTTCGAATGCACTGGCTCTCATGGCAAGAGTTCTATGATGAGCAGATTTATTCAGAATAAAATTAGTTTTAATATTGCCACCATCAAATTAAAGATAAATATTGTGTAGGGGAAAAAATCCTTTAATTTAGATAGTTTATATTTTTATCAGAAATATTTCAAAAATGACTCCTTTGAAAATTACCATGCATTAACAAATCTGTGAGCTCATTTTCTAAGTGCTGTGCTGATTTTTTCAGATTTTCTAGAGATATAACCATGCTTTTAAATTAAAAAAACTAGAGTTTTTAAATAAGTTTTTAAAATTCCACTAAATCATACAGTTGTAGTCACGACAGTAACAATAATAACAAGAATGATATGAATTATTAAGATTTAAATTTTAAAGTTTTGCTGGTAATTTAAACATTAAAATTGGACTTTTCTGTAATAAGTTGCAGAAAGGGAAAAAAGCTTAAACAATATGACTGTGATACATGTGTTTAAACATTAATAAAGATGATTCTTACGCTCAGAATTTATTTTAAAAGTTTAAATTCTACCACACTAGCACCAGTTTTCGTTGTTCCAATCTCTTTGTTTCAAATAGAAATATTTAAATAGCGATTTAATGCTTTGCTTTCCAACCTAGTTGGTTCTACTTGTGCACAATTAAAAAACTTACTTGCATGGCTTACACCATAACTCATTCTGATCCAAACCATATCGGGCCCGGCATTTTTTCATAGGAATTCCTAAAATATATAAATATATAAATATGTAAAGCATATTTAAGTATAATTTAAAAAGGCGATCTTCTGTCGTTCTTCGGATGTTCTTAATTCATTTAAAGTTTACTAATTACACATTTATTTTTTTTCTTGCAAAATTTGATTTTCAACATTTTTTAATTGAACTTTTTTGTTCGTCCATAAATTTTATGTAAATGCAAAAACATATCTCTGTACATCTTTGACCAGTATATGTACAAGGGGGGGTAACAAAAAGATAATATTTATCTCCCTTCCTTAATTGTTTTAAAGGTTTATTCTCGTAAAAATTGAGTTTTTAACATTATAAATTCAAATTCTTTATAAAAACACTTCGATACAAAAATTGAAGGGGAGGGGGGGGGGGGGGGGGGTTGACAAATTCTAGAATAAATCTGATAGCAAAGATTAGATAATCTATTGCAGAGAGGAATAAATATAAATATTTATTATGAAGAATATTGATATTAATGGACCAATGAAACTTGAAACCGCCATTACATTTATTCTAGAACATTCAAACATTTTGCGGCATTACCAGATTTAAAGATGGGACAAGATTTTTATTCTGTTCTCAAGGAAGAAAATGAGAAATAAGTGTCAAATCAATTAATATTAATTTGAACAAAAAAAACATTTCGTTATTCATATTACCCTGTTCTTGATAAGTCAAAACTTTCTTCGGACATCAATTTCGAACACAAAAGTAATTTTTTTTCTAACATAGCAAAATAAGGGAAATTATTAAAAAGTGCAAAAAATGCCTAATTATCCCTGTTACCTGAATTGTCCGCGATTTTATCCCGCTTTCGTTTCTTTTTCTGTGCAAATATTTTCAGTGTAAAGACTATCAATTTTGCAATGAAAATAAAGAAAACTGAATTGTATAAATAAACCGGAACTGTTTCTAATCTAAACAGGAAGTACAGGCCAAACAGGCCTAAGTTAAAGGGATCAGAGACGGAATTTCAAGGGACCCTCCATACTCGATTCACAACGGTACCCATTTTACAACTTTGTCTATTCGGCTGGATTGACGAGGTATTCGGCTGGATTGACGAGGTATTCGGCTGGATTGACGAGGTATCCCAGTGTTTTAAAGGAACAATTGGATCTTATAGAAGATATCTTATCTTTCATTAAAAATGCGAAAACAAAATCATCAACTTAAATGAATGCAAGAATTTATCCATATATTCATCTATTTATTTATTGATTTATTTATTCATCTATTCATCTATTCATCCATCTATTTATCTATTCATCCATCTATTCATCTATTCATCTATTCATAAATTGTTTACGCAGTCAATATTTGCCGGTTCCTTGCTCTGCGCATAGTTGTCCCGAGCTGACCAGCCGGGGTACATCTGCATATGAAGCTGACGCTCTTTACGCGCCTAATAATAATATTTAATAATAATAATAATGATAATAATAATAATAATATTCTACCGGGCACGGGTCCTTAGAATTATGAATTAAATCTCCAACTTGAGATTTTCAATCTCTAACTCTAAAAGAGACCGCCATATGCAGGCTTCAAGCTACTGGCAACAGGGGGAAATTATTTTTTTTATTAAAAAAAATTTATATTTTTTCATAAATTTAATTTCATTTTATCTCAAAAGTTAGTTCTTTATGTAGTTTGTATTTACCCTTGCCTCCTGCAGTTCTACACTATTCGCGGATTTTCGAATAACAAATTTTGCGAATTTTCGATTTTGCATAAACTATCAGCTCCTGGAAAACCTTTAGTCACTGAGACCGCGGGGTATTCGATGACTTTTTGACATTTTGTTGTAAAAACGATATTTTTTGCTTTTGATTATACAATTTTCTAATTTTTATCATTTAAAATTGATAAAAATGATAAAAATGATTAGAATGAAATATAAGGATAGTATCAGGAGATCCATGTATTAAGTTCCACCACCTAGTCACGGGGATATTAAAATGACCTCCCTCCCCCTTCTCCTCCTCCCTCCTCTCCCCCCACTCCTTGTCCTGCCTCATCATTTCCCCCTTCCCCTTTCCCCATCTCTCCATCCCCTCTCCTTCTCTTTATCCACCCTTTGCTTTTTCTTCCCCAATTTTTTCCTTAAATATTTTTCCTTTTTTGTGTTATTATTATAACATCAATACTTTCATGATTTTCATTATTACTATCACTTTTGCTATTTTAATCATTATGAACTTTCACTTTTGCTATTTTAATCATTATAAACTGTCCCTTTTGCTATTTTAATCATTTTAAACTGTCACTTTGGCTAATTTCACTATTATAAACTGTCACTTTTGCTATTTGCATTATTATAAACTGTCACTTTTGCAATTTTCATTATTACTATCACTTTTGCTATTTTCATTATTATAAACTGTCACTTATGCCATTTTCACTATTATAAACTGTCACTTTTGCTATTTGCATTATCATAAACTATCACTTTTGCTATTTTCATTATTATAAACTGTCACTTTTGCTATTTGCATTATTACTGTATACATCTTTATCATTACAATTGTTATCATTACGATTGTTATCATAACTATTGTTATCATGGTTATCATTATTATCATTGTTATCATTATTATAATTGTTATCATTATTATCATTATTATCATTATTATCATTGTTATCATTATTATCATTATTATCATTATTATCATTATCATCATTATTATCATTATTATCATTATTATCATCATTAATCATTATTATCATTATTATCATTATTATCATCATTATCATTATTATCATTATTATCATTATTATCATTGTTATTATTATTATCATTATCATAATTATTATCATTATTATCTTCTTCTATATTGAAATTATTTTGAATTTAAAAATTTTACTTGAAGTTCTAGGTTTCAATAAATTCAAAATTAATTTCATTTTTTCAATAAACCAATAATTGATATTTCTAGAAAATATTTTTCAATTGAGAAAATTGGAAAAGTATGTAAACTTTGAACTTTTTCCAGTCATTAACCCAGATATTTCAGTTTTAATTAATTTTTTGTTTTCTAGTATTCAAGTATTCAAGCATTCAAGTT